AGAGAGAGAGAGAGAGAGAGAGATTTCGTGATAACATCTCGTTACTTACGGCGACGCCCCTGGTTCCTGAATTTTGATTGAGAGATTCAACGGGGATAAAAGACGTTATGTGTAAGAGAGAGAGAGAGAGAGAGATTTCGTGAAAATAACGTGAGTTTACTTATGGCGAGGAGAGAGTGGTTTCGTGAAAATAACGTCCGTTACTTACGGCAAGTAGAGAGAGTGGTTTCGTGAAAATACCATCCGTTACTTACAGTGAGGAGACAGTGGTTTCGTGAAAATACCATCCGTTGCTCACAGTGAGGAGAGAGTGGTTTTATGAAAATAGCGTTCGTTACATTGGGCGAGGCCCTTCCTGAATTTTGATTGACAGATTCAATAGAATTAAAATGAGGTAGAATTGAGATAACGGCCGTTATTTCTAAATAATATTATTTTCAGGAAAATTAATTGCTTATGGTACGTTTGGTTCGCATAAAGATGATTTTTTAGAAATTATTCTCATGTAAAAAAAATTCCATTATGTAGTTAGTCATGAGAATGTTCTCGTACTAATTGTTCTTAGTACATCATTTCACACCAATTGGCAACTAATTGAATGTAAAAATATTCTCACATACAATTAGTTCATGTGAAAATATTTTCTTAAAATTATTTTCGTGCGAACCAAACATGCCAAAAACCATATGTAATTTTTCAGTTTTCATGTATTTCTTGTTATTTTTTATTGTAGTGTTACATATGGCTTCTTGCCTGGGTCAATGAGATTCATCATTTACCTAAGTATTTGGGTCGACTATATGAACATTATTTTTCTATTCCGCTCTATCAAGGGTAATATATGACCCTCGATCACATTACAAATCGTCATATCTCTTCTCACTAATTCTATATTTATCTAATTCTTGTTTTTTTTTTTTTGGTAATTCAGTGGGGATGACAAGTCCATACTTGTTTTTTAAATTGTTAGTGGTTTTTTAATTTGTTAGGTGAGAATGGAGATCTAGATCGAACACATGTGGTAATACTATTATGACCCCAACACCATTCTCAAAACAAAATAAAAAATAAATAAATAAAATGGAGCTTCTTATGCACCCTAGCCAACTGGTTCAAACCCTAGGTGAAAGCTCCAAGGCAAGAGGGCTTTTGGCCAGAATTTCCAGCAAATGTACTTTTCGTTGCTAAGGGTCTATTCGATCTCATGCGCTTCTCCCAATACGTTAGGGTTACTTCGCATTTTGTATCTGATTGGACAGCATATCGGAGGTCTATTTTGAAGGTGATGTTGATCTGGCAAACAAAGGAATTGCACACTGCAAAATGACATGACATAAAAAAACAAAATTTTAAATAAAAAAAAGGTGGACCTTTCCCTCAAATTGGTTCTTTTGAACAAAGATGGATAAGAAATCTGATTGGATTGAATTTCAATATTCAAATTGAATTTATTCAGATTGATAGTAAGTCAAGGGGATTTGGACCTCCACCAAGAAATTGGTTTCGAAAATCTGATTGGATTGAATTTAAATATTCAAATTGAATTTAATAAGATTGAGTAGTAAGTTGGGGGAATGTGGACCCCTACCCTTTTGAGAATAGAGTTATAGATCTCATCATGAGGCTTAGCAATATTACAGCCAAGGCTCTATGCTATTCTCGACAGTAGTATGTCAGTTAGGATTTGGGTCCCTACCTTTTGGTGAGAAGGTGGTATCAATGGGAATGAAAACCACAATTTGGTGATTCTTGAATAACGAGATTTCATTTTTTTTAAACTTGCAGGCGATAGCTCGGGGGGCAATTTGGTCCATTGGGTGGCCGCATGTGCCTTCAAAGAGAACCTCGTCTCCCCGAACATGCGAATAGCCGGCTGCATACCGATCCACCCAGGCTTCGTGAGATCAACTCGGAGCGACTCGGAGCTGAATCTAGAATCCGACTCCTCCTTTCTCACTCTTGACATGGTGGACAAGTTTCTCGCTCTAGCCGTTCCTCGTGGGGCCACCAAGGATCACCCGTACACGTGTCCAATGGGGGAGGCCGGAATGGCTGAGATCGAAGGGCTGGAATTGCCTGATTTCTTGGTCCCCATAGCTGAGAGAGACCTAATCAGAGACACCGAGTTAGAATATTGTGACTCGATGAGGAGGAAAGGCTATAAAGTGGAGGTTTTGATGAGCAAAGGGATGGGCCATTGCTTTTATATGAATAAGGTTGCTATTGACTCGGATCCCTACACAAAGGAGGAGACTGATAAGCTTATTGAGGTCATTGTGGACTTTGTACACAGGCATTGAATGGTTTTTAGAGAGAGAGAGATTGAATGGTTTTTAGGAGACTGGGAGAATGCATTGTGAATTTTGGAGCTGTTCTTTTTCTTGCCTTTTTTCTTTGGTGGGTCTGTTGGGATGTTAATTGTATGCGTTGCACTTTTGTGTTGACCTCTTTAATTTATATTATGTGTAGCCAAAAGATATTATGCTTCTGCATGAGTATACTGTTAATTTAGTCCCTAGCATTAATATTAGGACCCCAAATTTTGGGGATGTAACATCTTCAAACCCTGGATTGACCCCAATAATAAGAAATGATTTCCTAATCACACCATTCATGTACTTCAAAGAATAATGTCTCAAGATTTGATATAGACCTTCCAAATTTTAAAGGGTGAGATTTAAGTATTATAAAATTTAAAATTCAACTTTTTTTTTATAAAATAATTATCTAGTAATTTTTTTGTGGTTCCCAAAATTTCAAAATGAAAAAATGTCCCAAGTAAGTCTTACGACCGGGGGCGGGGGGAGGGGGGGGGGGGGGGTGTAGATTTATTCTATCCTCTCGTAGGAGTATGCTATATGTGGTTGGAATAGCCAAAAATGATAAAAAGTTAAAAGGTGTGGTTTCTATAAGGTTGAAACATTAAACAATCCAATTAAAGTGCACCTTCAAATTTTATCTTAACATATAATTTTGATGTAAAATAGTTATAGGATTATCTCAAAATTTATTATTATATTCAATTATAAATTTTAAACTCCAAAAATAGTTTAAATCAAGCAGATCTATAAACATATGAAAATATTGAAAATGGATGGTCTAGATAAGATGCTATAAGATGCACCATTTCTGAGACTCAAAATCCATTTATTTTTCATAGTCACACATCTCGATATCGAGATGATCAATTAGAGGGTTTTTCAACATTAAAACAACATTTTCTGATAGATTTTTATGGTGCATCCGTAGTTTTATCTTTTAAGGTTGCAATCTTATATAAACTTTTTTCAAAAGTTAAATAGTTAAAAAGTAAGGCGTATTTTGAAAAGTTCTCAGTAATGTTATTGTTATCTCTTCCAAGGCTCTTTGTTTTGTTTTGGTCGAGAAAAGGAAGTGCTTTGGTTCTAGCTGATCAAGGGACTTGGGTATATTCTTCAAATAAAAAAATTAAAAAATTAATTAAATATTAAAAAAATATACAATGACCATTTGCTTTTGGTACAAGATGGTCACCATTGGATGTAAAATTGAACGATTGTATTTATTCTATTGATCATGCTCAAACTACAGAAAAAAAAGTTTTTAAATTTGCGACACACTCAAGCTATCAGATTTCACATTGGATGGTTATAAGTACTCGTGACCTCCTTAAATCAAAGATAATAGGTCTCATTTTATACAATCCCGAAGATATTTATTGGAACAATTTTTATAAATATATTATGAAAAGGAAAGTATAAAATGAGCTTTTTTACCTTTGACCATCAGATGTGACCAAGCTCAAACTTCAAAAAAAAATTTCTTGAACTTTGTGACACATCCAAGCTATCAAATTTCACATGAGATAGTGTTAAGGAATTGTGACTATCTTGTATAAAAAGTAAATAGTCGCATCATATACAATCCCATTGTGAAAACGTTTAAGACCATGGAGTCTTTTTTTAACAATGGTAATGTTTCATATGTACTTTTACAGGATTATGAATATTTTGATAGTATATTTAGAATAATAAGCAATCTTTTCACAATACTGTGGGTGTGATTCACGATGCTTCGATTAAGGGGTTAAAGCTGAAATTTTAGCCAATCGACTAAAGCCAAGTGAATTTGATAACATTGTTTGAAAGCTTTCTTTATCCCAACTAAAATAAGAGAATGCCATTACTTAATTAATATAAAAAATTATAAAGAGTATATTGCATGTGATATCAATCTTCATACAATGTGAATGTGGCTGAGAAGAAGTGCTCTGCTATGGAGTGTAATGATGGACTTCATTGGTAGAATGATTCACGTCATTATGGGGGTGGCAATGTGTCAAGGGCCGGGTCAGGGCCTGCCCGGCCATCACCACATGATAGCAGAGTTGGATAGGGCTTGGGCCAGGGTTATAACAAGGTAAGCCCTGTTCGCCCTAGCCTAACCTTTTTCTCTTTATTTTTCTTTGATTTATTTGAACCAACTTAAAGAACAGGGTCTGCCCAACCATCACGACCTGAGAAAAAGGCTGATCCGGGCTTCGTCCAAGGTTATGACAAGATAAGCCTTGTTCGGCCTGATTCCTTTTTCTTTATTTTTCTCTTCATTTTTTTTTATTTTATTTAAACCAGCCTGCCCATGCATGGGCTGGACTTATGGGCCCGGCCTGTTGCCAGGCTTACACAACATCCCTCATTTTCTAGCACAAAAGATTGAGATATACTCCAATACTCTGTACTCTCTCTCTACCTGCGGCTCGTACTTGAGTCCTATTATAAATAGGACAAGCTTTTTATGTCTCCCCTACAGAATAAAACTTATATACTTCCCCTTATCCAACCGTTCATTCTAAATGGAGGGCTAAGATTGCCCCAATCACAATATGTCTCTACAATATATATATATTTTTTTTATAAACTATTTTGACACCAAATTTTGGACATCCAATCTTCTATTAAACTCGCACTAGTGAAAAATATATAAAAAATATTTCTAATAAAAAAAAATAACCAAAATACCCTTAAAAAATTCAAGGGGTATGTTGATCATTATATTTTATTGAAAACTTATTTTTAATATTTTTTATAGGTGCGCCCCCCCAATGAGAAGATGACACGTACCAAATTTCATGTTCATATAATTTGTATTAAAAAACTAAAAATAAATATTGTAAGATGTCGGATCTAAGATCTAACGGTGAGTGACTCTCTTGATCAAAATTGGACGGCTGGATAGTAGGGGAAGCATAAATCTTCTATGTTGTAGGGGAAATATAGAAACATTTCCCTCATAAATATCAAACTTTACCATATTGGCATAACGTAAGAGACCAATCATTTAAGGATGAGGCTTCTATAAACCCTAGTCTTTTATAAAAACAAAATACAGCCTCACCTATCTTCGTCCAGAAAGTACTTTCGGCAACAGAAATCTCTAATGATGGCTTTAAAATCAATTTCCACTACTAACAATAAAGTTCAAAACTCAAAAAATGGTACAAATCTCACGGATATGTGAACACTAAATTTTAACGCAAAATAGAAGGTCTAAATAATCTTATAATCTAAAATATTTTTAGAGCTTGAAATTGTTGGGTTTATGTGGATTTTACAGGCCTTATGAGTGCTTGTAAAATAAACTAATGTACTGAAACATGAACTCAGTGGGAGTGTGGTCCCTCGTTGATCATACTAAGTAAATGATGTTTATAGATACCGGACTGTGCTTGACGATCTAGGCCAGTCGATTGAGAAAAATCCATATTACCTGGGCATAAAGAACAAACCGAGAAGGGTTCTAATGGGTTAGCCCATGATGAGGTCGGAGAATATGCCCGGATGAGTGAGCCGAGAGACTGTGTGACCCTTGTGTGTGATGGTGGCTTACAGAGACAGGGGCCAAAACCTCATCTATGTACCATCACACAGCATGCATATCAAAAGATCGTTCGAAAAAGCCAGAAATCCACCTTTTTAGGGTGAAGCGTATGCATGTGCGAGAGATACCCCTATGCACCATAGAGCTGTGGTCGCATCAGGTCGTGTTGACATTGACTCGTCTCTAAGGGAAGACCTGCAATCCACAGATTGGGATTGCGACCCTTTGATTCATCAACCTGACTTTGGTGACCAGCTAATGAGCCCCTGCTTGGATTGTGGGTCATGAGAAACACTGGGTCGGTCTGATAAAGCAAGTGTGGTCTGTAGTTCACAGTTGAAGATGGAGTGCTCCATGATTGTTAATTCCTAAACCATATGGATCATTTTCCCATCAAATTAATTTAATTGTGTTTGTTTTATGATGAAAATTATTTTAAGATTATTATTTGAATTTTTATGAACCCATGGATATTTTATTTATAATTTTTTAATTTATAAAATTAAAAATATTGATTTTACAATTGTTCAAATACTCAAATAATATTTTAAAATCCTTTTATTAATTTTAAATTTATAAAAATATCATGGGGGCCCATTGTGCACATTGGCCCACCATATTTTTAGAAGGTGGGGCCATGAGTTCCTCCCTTGGGTGCCACGCCCCACCTTGATTCTCTTTCCTATTTTTTGGTGATATGGCATGTGGTCATATAGTTGGAAGATATTTACTAAAATATTGATTTGATATATCTTTGAAAGATTTTGTAGAAAGATTTTGTAGACTTTGCTATTTTATGATATGCACAATATTTTGATCATATTTAATTTATTTAATTTCTATTGATGGAAAATGGTTTAGGAAATAGGGATAATGGTTCATGCACCTTCCATAATGTTGATGGCCCGTCTATGGAATGGATGGCTCTGATCTCTCACCCCACAAGTCACCCTTGATCGACTGTCTATGTTCAATCTCACAAAAAGATGCAAGCAAAAGAAAACCCTAAGAAATCCTAATCTTATTCAAAGCCTATAAAAAGAGATTATCTCTACCAAAAAATCTCTACACCTTATTTTTTTATTTCTCTCTCTTAATAAAGTTTATCTCTCTCATGTTTGATCTCTCTCCCACATTGTGAAAGAACTTAAGGGTTTAGGTTATGGAGTTCTTCTCTCCTTTCTCTCAAATATGGGTTTGTGAAAAAACCTAAGGGTTTAGGTTATGAAGTTCTTCTCTCCTATCTCTCAAATATGAATTTATGGCTAAGGGTTTTATGGGGTAGCAAAAAGAGAATACATCTCATTGAAACTAAGTTGCTAAGAGAATTCACCTAGGGTTTGAGTTTGTGATCAAAGGGGTTCAAGTTTCATTGATGTGGCTTGGCCGAAATTTGCTTTCCCGGTTCGAGATTGAAGCTAGACCGTTGATCCCAGGTCATTGGATGGTGGTGACTCGGTGTGAAGTGTAATAAACTCGATTGAGGTAATCTCCGGCACTCTTCATTTTGTTTCTTGCAATCTTATCTTTTATTCTCAAGTATAGTGCATAGTTGTTTCAATGACATCAAGTTGTTAAGATCTTGGTTTTATTGTTATGTTGATTTTATTTTGAAATGTATCTTATTATAATAAAGACCACCTGTAAGTGATCTTTTACCAAAAGAAAGGGGTA